CTCCCCCGGGAAGATTATTTTTAAAATATTGAAGTTAAATGCATCAATCTGGTGCACTTTGAGAGCAAAGTGAAGAGATCTATGGATAGCCTACATCTCTCAGCATCCATATGAAACAGAACTGTACACAGATTTACTTTTTCTTTATGGATATTTCACTAATCATTCCCCTTTTAAACTGTATTCTTGTGTTACTGTCCTATAGTATTTCATACCCGTTTTTCATTTATTCTCTCTTTAATAACTATAATGATCATATAAAGGTATTCCTCGAAAATACTTACATAAATGGTGACCAAACCGTTTGAGACCCACTGAGATAACTTACACTAAAGTGAACTATCTAAACACTGAGAGAGTCCTTACCTCACTGAGCTGACGTTATAAGATCCTCTCAGTCTGACAGGAGAGGACTGTCCTCCACCTTGGTGTAGAAACAGCTCTTTATATCCGTTAGCATAGCTAGCTAACCAGATGCTAACCACAACATTCCACGTTACCGCTCGCGCACTCACAAAATGCGCTCGTGCCACACACACACAGAGCTTGAATGAAACACAGAGACCCATGTACTTGTACTGTACTGTATATCATATTATTTTTGATGGCTTTACTGTATAATCAGTGTAACAGATTAACAGATCGCCACTGGGCTTTCATCTAAACACTCAGCCACGTAATGATAACAAAAAAAAAGGTCGGGGGTCATTGGTCAAGCAACACACCAATCAGAGAGCAGCAGTGAGCACACCTCAGGCTGTGTTTTATAATTGTATTATTTATTTCTGATGTATTTCACACAAAAAACCTTTAGTGGAAACGTTTTCACTTAGCCTATATGATAAAAAAAAGAAAAAATCGGCAAAGTGACAAGGCTTGCCCACCCTGCGTTGGGGGGGCACAGTGACTCATTTGGGGGGGCATGGCCCGCGAATGACCCCCCATGACGCCGACCCTGCAACACACCAATCAGAGAGCAGCAGTGAGCACAGCTCAGGCTGTGTTTTAAATGTTGTATTCTTTATTTCTGACGTATTTCACACAAAAAACCTTTAGTGGAAACGCTTTCACTTATATGTTTGTTTGTTTTTAAACGGCAAAGTGGCAAGGCTTGCCCACCCTGTGTTGGGGGGGCACAGTGACTCATTTGGGGGGGCATGGCCCGCGAATGACCCCCCATGACGCCGACCCTGGGCCTATGTCTAAAATGGACAACATTGTTAGGAGATTTAAACTATACAGCCATTCTGCACTGCGGTCAGCCGTCTCTCGAGTTTGTTAAAAAAAATTCTGCCATTAGTTCTTCGTGAGATCTATCCTGTTGGACTCAGTAGGCTAGTAGTGAAACTACTCCCACAAGTACTATGAAGTAGCCTAGTACTTACTGTGTACTTTTTGACTAATCCTCTGTCAATGTCCCCTCCTGAGAACAAGAATGCATGTTTCTCTGCTATTTTGAATCAACGTTAAAAAACCTTTCTTCATGCGACTGATATTGTTGGACTGAGTATTTTAAGAGGATATCAGCAATACTTCCAGTCAGTAGTACGGCAGCAGCATTTTTACCCCTTGGAAAGTCTTGCTCGCTAATTAAATTGACTTTGATTGAAGTTAATAACAATATTGATATTCTATAGATATATAGATATAGCATATTTGATGCAGTCTGAACACTTTTAAAATAAAATACTGCAAATGAGGAATATTTGTAATGTTCTGCACAAATTTGAAAACACGTGGCAGCTTTATCAATACAGCAGTTGAAAAGATTTGTGGAAGGATACATTCTTCATTGGCTTCAATGGCTCTCTCAATAAAGGGCGTGGTTGCTTGTATTATCCTCAGATTGGGGTTTGTTTAAATAACTAGTGACATTTTAATAAATATTGCAAAAAAAGGGCTCCAAAAAAGGCATATATCTTTAGCCAGTGTGTATTTTTTCAAGCACCACAAGATTCATAGTTTATAAAGTACAATTCTGGGCCATTGATTGTGTCATTTCTCCAAACACATACAGTAGAAATGCCTGTTTTGAAGCCTTAAAATGGTGCAGGACTTTACATTGGGTTATACTTAAAAACAGGACTATTCAGTTAAGAGAAGAGAAAAAAGGAAAGAAAACTGTTATAATGGGTGATGTAACATGAATGACAGACATAATATGAGGTCCTTGGCACACATTGTGTGATCATGGGGCATCACCCTTACAGCATCAGGACAATATCATATGGACACTGGAAGTGTGCTGGAGGCGTTGACTGGGACTGATGGAAGGATGAGGCTGATGAGACTGAAGAATCTGCGAGGAACGAATTAGCGGCTGAGAAATAGTTATATATTAAAAGACACCAGCATCATAAGAGGCCAACCAGAGTGTGTCAGTGTGCTGAAGGATATTTGTGACCAGCTATCCAGGCCAGACTCTAAAGAAGTTCCCAGGTGTAAAAATGCTGCTGCCGGAGTACTGACTGGAAGTATTGCTGATATCATGTCTGTCATCCTCTTAAAATACTCTGTCCAACAATATCAGTCTCAGGAAGAAATGTTTTTTAACGCTTATTAAAAGAAAAACATGCATTCTTGTAGTCGGGAGGGGACATTGACAGAGGATTACTGGAAAAGTACACAGTAAGTACTTCATAGTACTTGTGGGGGTAGTTTCAGTAGTACTGAGTCCAACAGGATCAATCTCACGAAGAATTAATGGCAATACAAATAATTCCCTCATCAAACTTAGCAGAAGTGGCTTGATTTTGTTCTCAGCAGGGGACTTTGACAGAGGATTTCTCAAAAAGTACACAGTAAAATTACTTCAATGTATTGTTAGTAGTAGGCTAACTAATACAAAGTCAAACAGTATCAATTGCATTCAGTGTTATAGCAGAATGTTTAATACAGCGTATTTCTGATATTCATTAAAGATCACATGGCATTCCATATGATGTCAGTGTTTCCCCTATGCAAACAGCAAACAGCCGCTGCTGAAATATGCGCGCCGCTGCTAGGGGGCGCAAGCCCTGGCAACTTTTCGCGCCACCGATACGCGGGAAAGCTGTCATTTTCAGAGCTGCCTGACAAGACAGACAACAGCAAGTTGAAGCCGACATAACTTTATTTGGACACAATCACCTCAAGAAGAAGAAGAAGGTCATAACGCCATAAATGTAAGTTATTATAATTTAAAATGTTGTTACATTTAGATTAAGTAAATTAATACTTTGATAAAAGCCTACAGTTAAGAATGAATGACAGCTAGCTAACTTAGCTAGTTTAGCTAGTTAACACCCAGTGTAATAGATTGTTCATCACATCTTATGTTATTTTCAGATGAGTTTAAAAGGCTGGATTGTCAGCAAACGAAAGAGAAGTGATGATCGTGGTGATGAGGAGGAGGTTAGTTGGGTGAAGTTAGGGAGGTGGGTCTCTGTTGTCTGGCAGCAATGTTTTGAAAGGGGAGCAAATGGATACACACTTTTTGGGAAATAGTTTTTAAGTAGTTGTTTAAATGTACAATTGTATTGACTGATATCTCGTACTAGACCGGACATGCGATGAGAGTAGGCCAGAGCAGAGGAGGTGAAGGAGCAGGTCAGGATAGAAGAGAGGAGCAAGGTGCAGCTGCTGCTGTCAGAGGGTCAGAGGTAGGAGGATCAGAAAGAGCAGGGCACCGGCAATCAGGATTTGATCCAGGGTGGATGGAGAACCCGAGGTTCAAACCTTGGCTGTACAACACAGCTAACCATGGTGAGTATCTAACATATGGAGCAGTTAGGGGCTTGATCTCTCAGATGTTTTAACGATCATACAGTAGCCACAACCTCTTAAAGAAAAAAAATATATATCAAAGATCTTGTCCCGACAGGAATGTTCTGCCGCTTGTGCCGCCAACACAAGCAAGCACCGAAGCGGGGGGTTTCTACACGGCCATTTATTGAGGTTGGGTGCATGCTTTTCCGAAGCGACTACCTTGATAAGCATGCTGCCACTAAGCACCATCAAGAGAGTGTGAAGGCACACGCCGCACTGATTCAAGGTAAAATTCACTAATACTGTAGGCCTACTGTTTCAGTTTATTTATTTAAAAGAAAAGAATGCACATTAATCAACATATCAGGTTTTACATCAATGTAAATGTGACAGATTTAGCTAGTTTTCATCTGCAGTCCCTCAGCAGGTCAACATAGTACAAACAACACAGTAGGCTATAATACATTACAATTTTTATTTTTATTTTGTTTACCTTTCAACAGGGTCCTCAGTGCTGGTCGCCTTTGACCCAGTTATCACCCTTGAACACGAAGCGGTGATTGGTGGTTTTAAGTGCCTCTACCACCTCACGAAAAAAGAACATGCTCACCATACGAACTATGCTGACCTTTTGGAGCTCGCAGAACTACTTGGCTGCCAGTATTTTGAGAAGTTAAAGGTAAGTTAATGCTTTCTTTAATCAACTTCATCATAAAAAAAGTGTGCAATATTTAATCTTAAATGCATTTGTTTTCTTTAAGATCGGGAAGACCTACTACACATCTCACCGAATCATCGATGAGATGTTAGAAATCCTGGGCAGTGTCGTTAAATAGCCTATCTTGGCAAACATCAGTGCTTCTGTGGCAATTGGGCTTGAGGTGGACGAGACCACAGATGTGTCTGTGAAGAAGCAGCTCGATGTTCACGTTAGGTATAATTTTATTCCAAGAATGACAACAATTAAGACTTAAAATAATTTTGAATGACGTGTCTTTATTATGTTTAATATAGTCTTGCATAGCCAGACCTAGGAACCTGGGACCTGGGAAACGCTCTATTTCTTTAAACCAATCACAGTTGGTTGGCGGTTGCAAGCTTGTTGTTCTTTCACGTAGTCTGGATTGAATCTGATCGGGGCAACAACATATTCCACCGCCACTGATTGGGTAGTAATAATAAACAAATAAGGCTTATCCCAAAAACCTACATCTGTTGAGTCAGTCTGACTGTTTAATATGTTCATCAGATACATGGACAAAAATGGGCTGCTTTACAGCCAATTTCTGGACCTGGTGACAGTCAGCGATGGCAGAGCTGACACCATAGTCAAGGCAATAAGAACGATCCTCACAAAAAAGAACATTCCCACCCAGAGGATTTATGGCCTGGGGACAGATGGAGCAGCTGTCATGACTGGTATGAACTAACAACAAAAAACAAGGTTGATATTCACTGCAGCTTAAAAACTAAAACATGTTTGTCCTGAAACAGGGAGAGTGAATGGAGTGGCCAAGCAGCTACAGGACACCTTCCCATGGATGGTGTCGGTTGCATGTGCCGCACACCGCCTCGCCCTGTGCTGCAAGGACGCCTCATTAGGAGTGGCTTACATGAACTCCTTCAGGGACCTTCTACAGCAGCTACACCTGTACTTCAGGAACAGTGTGAATCGCACAGCTGTACTCCAGGCTTCAGCAGAGTGCTTGGGCCTGGATAACTTGAAAGTGAAGGTAATTTAAAAGGGAAAAAACATCTTCCATATTTGGAGGCACCTGATATGACTTAATATGCTTTCATCTTGTGGCTCTAAATATTTTTAGGAAGTGAAGGACACACGCTGACTTTCGCAAGCCATGGCTGTTTCCAACCTACAGCGGAACCTGACCGCTGTCCTAGCAGCCTTGGCTGAGGAGACGGAGCATAAGAAATGCCCAACAGCCAAGGGGTTGTATGGCTTTCTGGCTGCCTACAGCTTTGTGGCGTCGGTCCACCTGCAAGCAGATGTGCTGCCACATATCAGCAGGCTGTCAAGGCTGTTCCAGAAGGAAAATGTCAACTTCCTTGCTCTGAAAGTGCAAGTATACTTTCCAATGTTTTATTTTTGACACCACTGTCCATACACTGCTCATACTAACCAGATATCTGCTGTTGCTGCATTTACACCTACTCTGTCTTTGTTATTAGGTCCCTGTGACAATGGCCTGCCTCCGAGCAATTAAAGATGCTGGAGACCATCAGCCACCAGGGTCTTTCCTTTCAAAGCTCCATGCAGACCTGGACAACCCTGCAGGACTTGGGGCTTACAGTATTGTCCATGAGGAGGAGAGGAACAAGAGAGGGACAAGAAAGCGACTGACCAGGGAAGAGCTCTGGGGCCGGTTCAGGAGCCAGGTATGTTTGTTTTAGATTTAGCATTTAGCAGACGCTTCTACTCACCAGAACTCACAAGTATATCTCCTTTCTAAACAAGCGACTAAGAGCATAATCTAGAGCTAAAGTCAAAGTGCAATCGTAGCAAACAATAATACAAAAGGTGCTTAAGAGGGAGGATCCTGTTAATACTAGATGCCTATTAAGTGGTTTGAATATGGACACAAGTTTCAGTTTAATAATCTGTTGCTGTTATGGTTAGGTGATGGATCCATATTTCGATGGCCTGCTGGGGAGCCTGGAGAGGAGGTTCCAGAATCTGGACCTTTTAGGGGCCTTCCATGTGCTGAGCCCTCAGGCAGCAACTGGAGATGAGGCCATTTACGTAGCCAATTTGCAGCTCCTTGCCGGCAAATTTCTACAGGCTGACTGTAATGAGGTGCTGCAGGAATGGTCCTCTTTTAAACAGCAGCTGATAGTTGGGCCATTCAAGGTATCATAATGAATTACAGTAACATTCCTTTTCAGGAGTTCTATAGCCTGGATTGATGTTCATGTTGTGTTTCATGTGTCTCAGGACTTGGATCAGCAGCAGGTGATGCAGGAACTGTCATCAGAGGTGGGTGAATGGGGGCTGCTTTACCCATCTCTGAGCAAGCTGGCTGCCATTGGCCTGGCCATCCCAGTTTCCAGTGTAAACTGTGAGAGGGATTTCTCAACATTGAACCGGGTAGGATACTTGAACAAGTGATATCATTATTTGACTTTATTCAAATCTCAACCCCATGGGCTCCACATCCACTTGTCTGTTGATTATTATGTTTGTATTTACAGGTGAAGACTGACTTGAGAAATCACTTGCAGGGGGAACACCTTGCCACCTGTATGCGATTGAGCATCAATGGCCCCCCAACCAGAGACTTTCCCTTTAGGAGAGCCTTAGAGCTATTCTTTAAGACCCCCAGAAAAATAAAGTGCTCTCAGGCAGGATGCCAACTGTGCCATCATCACTAAATCGAATCAAGTCAAGTCATTTTATGTATAGAGCATAACAAAAACATATATGGATCAAGAAACAAGGCAGGACAAATGATATATGAGAGAAAAACTAAGGAAGTAAACCCCTTGGCAGAACCCAAGATATTCAAGTCACTGGGGCAGTGGAACGAAGTGGAGACATTTGGCACATTCATTACTACTGTAGGTGCCATGCTCTTTTGACACCTGATATTAAACTAACAAATTGCCAGATGAAAGTGATGTAAATGAACAACACAAATAAAATAAGTTACATATATGTGTTATTGGCTATGGTAGGTTATTGGTATGTTAAATTATTTGATTATTAAAATGTAAAACGATCTTTTTCATATGGGTGTTTAGAGTTAGATCTAGTCTCTAGTCATTGTGTGCTCAAAGTGCACCAGATTGAAGCATTTCAAGCATTAAAATGTAAAAAATAATCTTCCCGGGGGGGCATACCCCCGGACCCCCCTAGAGGATGTGATGTCCAACCACCAATTATAAAATGTTCATACAATACTGAATACATTTGAAGCCTTTAATGATGTATGTGTCTTTCTTGTGCTGGCAGACACATAGAAACACAATGGCGGGGCGCACTTCGCACGCGCACACACACTTAAAATGTCCACACGCTCCGCGCTCACGTTTTGCTGGGCCAGCGTGCCTTAGCACCGCCGCTATGACTCCATCCTAGGGGAAACACTGGATGTGTGTTATTGAGTTGGGTCACACAGTTAGAGAGACAATGGTCGTTCTGAATTATCAATAGATGTATTCATTTTAAGTGAGCTGACACCGAGGTTAGAGAAAGTTCAGAGAAGGCCTCAGGTTATAAAAAACAGTTCACCTTTTTGTTTGTTAACTACTAAAGATGTCAACGATGACGTTTAAACATATACAAGTATAGCTTTCAGAGAGATAAACATGTGGCATTTGTGTGGTAGGCTGCATGATAAAATGTGTGTGCGTTAAACATGCTTAGGGAAAAAGTGTGTGTGTTCATTACAGTGGCTATATATGCTGTATGATTGTTGCACTGTGGGGGGCATTTCCACGATTGGCTGCTGTGGTAGCAGGTGATGTACTTCCCATTATTGTTTGTTTGTTTGTTGCAACAACTAAATAATAATTACTGATCAGCTATGTCTGTGTTTTATTGATTCCTCTCTGTTTCATTCTTTCCTGTTGTGTTATGCTGGAACGCCACAACAAACTAATGGTAACACTGTCTTTTTATCATTCATCAAAGATAGCAGAAAAACATGCATTATGTAGGCTACTATATGGAGGGGACTCTGACAGAGGATTACTCACAAAGTACACAGTAAAAGTACTTCATTTCATTTCTGGTAGTGTAGCACCCATAAGGTTGAGGTTGTCTACCTGCACATGCATGTTTATACCACAAGGGGGCAGATCACCTGATGGTTCATCTTTGTTTTATGCTGGAGATGAACAGAAGAAGTGTGTCTGTCTGTTGTGCTTTGAGATCGTTTGAGATGCTGACATCTTGCACATGTGCTTTGTGGAAGTTAATAAATGAACGTTTTCTACACCTATAATACCCTTGCGGTCTGAGTTGTGTAACAGTAGCAGTCAAATTAGTACCGAGTCCAACAGTTTCAGTGTTATTAAGAACTTGTGGACAAAAATATTTGTATCACTCATTGAATATAGCAGGGAAAAAAATGAAAAGCAGCTGATTTGAAAAAACAAACTCGAGAGACGGCTGAGGTGACCAGGGGCCTTATTTATAACGCCGTGCGTAGGACTCACGTGGGAAGGTTGCTTACGTAGTAGAAATCCAAAAAATAGGTACAGAAATTTTCCAACATTTTCCGATTCACCAAACATTGCGTACCGGCGAGGAAAGTGCGTACAGCACTTCCTACACCGGTTTCCCTTTATAAATCACAACCGACTCGAAATGCTGTGCAGCTTTTGCGGGCTTCACGTAACGCCCATATTTGCCTATAAATAGTCAAAGAAACGCCCATTCATTCATTCATTCACTAGGCTTGTTTGAGACGCGTTGCGGCTCGCCTCGAAAGTAGACGAGAATAGCTGATTGCAGCCGTGGGAGGTCTCAAAAAGCTCGCCTGAAGTCGGACAGCTCGGAGTCGGCTTCGTCTTCTTCTTCTTCTTCTCTCGGATTTTTGGCGGATTGCAAACAACTTTAAGGTGCATACCGCCACCTCCGGAGTCGGCTTGACTCGGTTTGCATTTATAAAGAATGCACACATGTGTTTAATCGTTAATGTCAGATATGTACTAAGTAAATGCATTTGTTCCTGCTCAAGATTAGATTCAACTTTATTGTTATTGCACAGATTACAGGTACTGAGACAACGAAATGCAGTTTAGCTAGTTCTAACTAACTCATTATGCTGCTGTCAAATCCGTGTTTCAGTGCTGTACGATACCAGTCACCTCTGTGGAAACATTGGTATAACTGCCTTTTTTAATTTATATTTGAGTGTTGTATGTTTTTGTAATAATGGACCAAGAGTCTCTTTAAATAAAGATGATTAACCAGGTGCAACAAGCAGTAAAGTGAAAAGTAATGTACACAATAGACAGAATAAAATATAGAATGAATTGAATGATGACTAAACAGTGAGGGGTATGAATACACTAGATATCAGCCTGTGAGCAGTATGATTGAACAGTGTGTATGAATATGCTAAGATATATAAAGTATGAAAACGGTAAGCAGTGCAAGTATAGTATAACATATATAGATATTAATTTCATGATGATAAACATTGTGGAACAATGATGAAAAATGGGAATGCATGTGGCGACGTAAAACTGACACAAAACAACAACAAACTTTTGCCGAGCCAATTGGAGAGTTACATCAGCAGCACGGGGTAAAAACCACCAATGAGCGCTCAGCTCGAGATACCAGCGAGTCGTTTCCCATCAAGCATTTAGCTTCCGCAGCCCATGGAGAGGAACTGCGCCGCCTCGCCTCGCCTCACTCTCAAGGCTGCGGGCGTCTTTGTCCCGCGAGATTTCAACGTCTCATGTAGGCGAGCCTCCAGAGCAAGTCGGACAAAATGACTAACCATCATGCAACGCACTAGCAAGACGTTGATCGCAACTGCGCAGGTCTCGCTTGTCTCAAACAAGCCTGTTTTGAATGACTGCATGAAGAAGATCGCAGGAAATGATGACAGAACAGCTAAAAAAGACATCTCGCACCGTGTCAGATTTTGGTTATTTTGGGGAGGTCGAGATAAATCATATTGTTTGGTGGATGCAGTTTGAACCAGAGTAGCAGCATGGAGGTCGGATCGTCACCAAAATAAATAAATAAGTGGTCCGAAAAAGGTTAATGACAAAAAAAATACACATAGCCTTCCTCATGCAGTGTGTTTGTACCGGGGACAGGAGACACCCCTTTGATGAGAAACTGTAAGAAATGATCGGGGAATCCCTCCAGAGTGCCCCCCCCCCCCGCAGCAACTCTATATCCACCAGTTAAAGGAAATACAACTAATGTGTTGTGTTATATCAGCTGTACAATTGACCAGATATGGTGTTCTTAGCTTCCATACCTCCTGTGTTTTACGAGCGACTTATCAAGTCTTAGCAAACGGCATAAAACATGATTAAACGTGATAGTATATACAACATGCTCGTATCTACAACCTATAGAAATGCAAAACGGCGTCAGTTTAGACGTAATTCTGTCCTCCTGCTTACCGCATCATTTATGAGAAAACATTTCATAACATTAACACAACATATTCGAGGTGGTTTTAAATAACATATCCGTATTTATTTATTTCTCCAAGTTATGTTTTTGTGTGCACTGAGGAGTCGCAAACAGGCGTTATGTTTAATAATTGTAAGATTGGCTTTAATCAATGTTTGAAAATGAATTCTTCATATATGATGAATGAGAGGTAACATTTTATTTATGGTATTATTTCCACACATTTCTCTCCATTCTTCCTTCTGCCAACGGCGTCGCAGTTTCTCGTCTCTCCCGTTGTTGTGCTTAGTGCGTACGCATGGGTTAGAGTTTGCGTGGAGGACCGCACATTTTCCCGTCAAGTTAGTATTTTATAAATCGCAAACATTGCGTAGAAACTGGCGTACGCCATTATTTGAGCGTATATTCCTTTATAAATTAGGCTCCAGGTGCCAGAAAGCCACAAGTGGGGCAGAGCTCTGTCCCACTTGTCAGAGTCCCCTCCATAGTAGCCTACATAATGCATGTTTATCTGCTATCTTTGATGAATGATAAAAATACAATGTTACCATTCGTTCTTAATGAAATTAATAGGATACTGTTTGACTTTGTATTAGTTAGCCTATACTTACATTGAAGTAATTTGAATCTTTACTTTTTGAGAAATCACCTGTCAAAGTCCCTTGCTGAGAACAAGATCAAGCCACTTCTGCTCTAGAGTATGTTTGTGTGGGACGTGGCCCGTGGGACATGTAAATGCAATGTCGACGCGTGAACTGTCAATGGGGGGTGGAGAGACACTATGGGCGCTCGTGAACTGTCAGCGTGGGGGGGGGTACCTCCTCGCCCTTTAATAATAAAGGGCGGGACGTCAGCGAACTGAGCCGGCCTTTCTCCGCATCTGATTCATGTCATCAGATTTTTAGAAAAGTGTTTTAGCCAATCTAAATGAAATATGCGGGACATCGTCTCAATGTGCGGGATGTACACATCGTGAAAATGCTGTGCAATACCGCACAAAGCGGGACATCTGGTCACCCAGACGGCTGAGCTGACCGCAGTGCAGAATCGCTGTATAGTTGAAATCTCCTAACAATGTTGTCCATTTTAGAAATAGGCCTATTAGGCCTATATTTAGCCCTTAATAACATTCATTTTCTGGGCTCAAAGTGTGTCTTGGCCGTTTTCATTGTGATCGCTAAATTCCCCTTGTTTATAATAATCACAGTTCCTTCAACAGGATACTGTAGTGATTCAAAGTGTGATTTTAGCATAGCCTACGAGTGCTTTTGTTTTGAAATCACTTTCGTGAGTTTCGTCTGCGCTCTTAAGGTAACTTCCGGTAGCAGAATATGAAAAAACGGTAGTTTTTTTGTTTCTGTTTTCTAGTGATTTTATTTTTTGTTTTGAGAAGTAGAAAATGAAAATCATCCCGTTTTTTAAGTTTAGTAAATCCCTTTTTGACCATGATAAAGAAAAACGCCTTGTATTT